CGCAACATATGTGCGGGAAAGTGCACCTTTCATTAACGTAATAAGGCAAAGAAGAGCAAGTTAGCGGTTGTGATCCTCTTATTGAAATATGTAGTTGGCATCCGGTCCACTTTCAGGAAACATGTCTGACTGTAAAAGCGTGCATTTGCGATGGGTTCTCTTCGCGCACAAACCGGTAACAGGTGCAGATTAGGTAGCCTGGATAACAAAGTACTACAACTCAAATACCACTGTGATGCGAACCGCTTGGTGCAAAAGGAATGCAAAAATATCTGTAGGGCCATTGGATAGCCTCAGCAGTTTAGGGTGTCGTACAACCACAATGGCGACGTTAGCATATTGAGGAATAACACCGAATGGGTACCTCGCATGTTCACCTGCTAGGACCTACTTGTCGGAGGGAAATATTTCCAGTGCAATTCATACAACTAAATCATCATGCTGAATCCAACCTGACATGAACTGACCTACGGCCCCAGGACACGATGGAGCAGATCGGTGCGGATGCTGACAGCGTCCACAACAAGGGGGAAGCGCGCGGCCAGCAGGCGGAGGAACGGCGTCGTAGAGTCGCCACCGGAGGCGCCACCTCTGGCGGCCGCACGCGGCTCAACATTGGCCCAGTGACCTCGGATGACCAAGCGGCCACGCCCAGTGCGCCGGCCGCCAGCCCGTGAGTTCAGTTTACCCTGTGCCGATATAAGGCTGTGTGATTTTGCCACCTGCAGGTCTTCTGTTGTGGATTTTACTGCATGTGATACGAACAGCAAGGTACCAGAGGGGCACCAGATTCTGTCTGTTGCTTTCGTTCACCACGTGCTAGTTGCCTCCACTTCCTTGCGATAATCTATGAATGTTCGGGTGCTGCTAAGAACAGAAGTAATCTCACTTAAGACATTAAAGAGGATGAGCCAATTCAAGATGTTTGAGTTATTTGATTTTGGTACATGCTATGTGCTACATCACGCTATTTTACGCGAAACAAAAGAGCCAACCATTAATGCTCACTGCACCCCGAAATATGGTGTACGGTTTTAACGCGACTTCCCAATGCCCATGCTACGACGTGACGTCACCTCAAGCTGACTGACATGGCCTGCGTGTGACGACCTCACCTGACGCGGTATGACGTCACTCTAGGCCGACTTGCGAGCCGCGCGCCAAGCAGGCGGCCGCGCGGCCGGCGAAGCGACTCCGACCACGACGCACGCGGCCGGGTAACCAGCAGGTGGGTGTTGCCGGCCCTACTCGTGTGTGTGTGGAATGACTGGGGAGCGGCTCAGCTTCGCCAGTTCTGCGCCATGGCGATGAAGCGATCGGAGTCTGAGGGCCCTGAGCGGCACGGACTCGCACAGCGTCATAGTGCGCCTCCGCCGCGCTTCACGGGGAGAGACTGATACGCCAGACCGTTTCGGCGTGGGGTCTTGGGCTCTGTGGATGAAATGTGAGGTTTTACTGCGCATCTCTGCTCTGAGTAATGCGCTTTCATCAAATATGCCTGTCACTGAAGCCTCTGCGCCTGCTGCGTCGTCCACGGCTGCGCATCGCCACATTCTGTGACATTTGTGGAGGTCGCACGCTGACGCTCCCGTGCGTGTCGGCTCCAGGGGGGGCACGTGTCCTGCGTAGTCGCCAACACGATGATGGCTTTTACCGCACGCTGGACGGTGACGAGGCCACGATCCGCCGTTGAACACTGTGTCTCTCGTCATTGCCGTACGTGGCCGAGCTGATTAGAATGCTGTGAGCTTGTTGCTCGTCACGTACAGGGAGACCACGTTATCGAAGCCGATCCCCAGGCTGGTCGGATAATAATAACTGGGACGCAGCTAACAGAATTCGCGGTGATCTATATTCATAGACGTACGTGTTGAGGAACGCGGGGGCCGTGCATTTTCAGGCTTCTTGGGCTGTCCGTGGCTGTTTAAAGTCGATGGTACCAGTCCGTTTGTAAGGCGAAGTCGTCCAGCTCAGTGAATGGCCTGCACTTCAGTTGTCCCGCAAGTCGTCTTTGGGATGTTTCCTCTTACGGGCGGTGCTCACTTGTCCTAGCAAAGGCAACACGTGTGCGTCTTCACTGTTCTGACCCTGTGGCGTTAGCACGCGCGCGTACAGAAATTCATCATCTTCATCTCGGGCCGCGATAAACCCATAAACCTCAAATGCCACACCATCCATCGCCCAGGTTCAGAGGTCAAGGGCAACAGCCGGCGGTGGACAGAACGTGTTTGATGATTTGCCCACCGAACTACTGCATCGCATTCTCGCCAACCTGCGTCCGCTACAACTGCTAGGACTGGCCCCAGGTATGTTTAGTGGCAGCGCAAGGTGGTAGTCGTCGCGTGCCTGCACGCTCTTCGTAAGTTGCTGTTTTTTCCGGTCTGGTTATCCGTTGCCATCGTCTTCAGTGTAGCCATCCTCCGCAGTGCTGGGTTACCGGCTGTGGTTCGGTTTCCTTGCCAATTTTTTCGCACGGTGTTCTTGAACGGAAGTGTTAAAACTGGACGGTAACCGTGAAGATGATTGGCAAGTATGACGCAAGATGTTTCAGGTTTTGTTGGTGTTAACCAGTTATACTTCATAACAAGGCCCAAACAAGGCTCAGTTACATCAGTTTTGTCCCAGATTTTAACCTAAGGCGCAATTAACAGGGAAATGTTGCAGATGTGTGTAAAGTATGATAAAAGGATGCCAAGACAATCAATCATTCAGGCTCGCACACCTTAACACCCGATCCGGGGAAGCGTCAGGAACTGCCCGAAACCGACAGCTAAACCGAAAGGTTTTTGTGATCGGCGCCGAGTGTATGGCGAGAAAGGAACGAACTTCCGGGCTTCAGTACGGAAAGCGATAACTGGTTAGCTATTTCTAGACGTCCGTCACTTCAAAACGCTGTTCATATGAAGATCCAAGCTGACATTTTGTGTAGCTGACTTGCAGCGATCCCAATGTATCGATTTGCGCGTTGCATTTTGCTGGTACTAAAATGCCTATTTTAAGTTTTATTTACTGGAACATAGGGCAGCCATGCACATGCGACTGTCGGCCAGACGGCACCCCTTCAGCGTGCCGAGCCGTCACGGCTGAGCACCCGTCACACCGTGCTCGTCCTGTGCGCCGCCGCGGTCCGCCGTAGTGTGCTCTGTCGGTGCCGGCAACGTCGCGCCGCCGCGGTCCGCCGTAGTGTGCTCTGTCGGTGCCGGCAAGCGTCGCGCCGCCGCGGTCCGCCGTAGTGTGCTCTGTCGGTGCCGGCAGCGTCGCGCCGCCGCGGTCCGCCGTAGTGTGTCTCTGTCTGGGCCGGCAGCGTCGCGCCGCCGCGGCCGCCGTAGTGTGCTCTGTCGGTGCCGGCAGCGTCGCGCCGCCGCGGTCCGCCGTAGTGTGCTCTGTCGGTGCCGGCAGCGTCGCGCCGCCGCGGTCCGCCGTAGTGTGCTCTGTCGGTGCCGGCAGTGTGGCGCCGCTGCGGTCCTGCCGTAGTGTGCTTCTGTCGGTGCCGGCAGCGTCGCGCCGCCGCGGTCCGCCGTAGTGTGCCTGTCGGTGCCGGCAGCGTCGCGCCGCCCGCGGTCCGCCGTAGTGTGCTCTGTCGGTGCGGCAGTGTGGCGCGCCGCTGCGGTCGCCGTAGTGTGCTCTGTCGGTGCCGGCAACGTCGCGCCGCCGCGGTCCGCTGTAGTGTGCTCTGTCGGTGCCGGCAGTGTCGCGCCCGCTGCGGCCGCTGTTTAGTGCGCTCTGTCGGTTTGCCGGCGGGCTGTCGCGCCGCCGCGGTCCGCCGTAGTGTGCTCTGTCGGTGCCGGCAACGTCGCGCCGCCGCGGTCCGCCGTAGGTGCTCTGTCGGTGTACGGCCAGCGTCGCCCCGCCGCGGTCCGCCGTAGTGTGCTCTGTCGTGTGCCGTGCGGCGGCCGTCGCGCCGCCCGGTCCGCCGTAGTGTGCTCTGTCGGTGCCGGCGGCGTCGCGCCGCCGCGGTCCGCCGTAGTGTGCTCTGTCGGTGCCGGCGGCGTCGCGCCGCCGCGGTCCGCCGTAGTGTGCTCTGTCGGTGCCGGCCAGTGTCGCGCCGCTGCGGCTCGCTGTAGTGTGCTCTGTCGGTGCCGGCAGTGTCGCGCCGCTGGCGCCAGGCAGTGGACGACATCTTGGGCCGCCTGCAGCAGCTGCACCTGACCGAGGACGACATGCGGCATGGCAAGCGGCGCGAGCCTGGAGCGGCTGCTGCGCCGCACGCGCTTCCCTGCGTCGGCTCAGCACCAACTACCCCAGTCCCAACTTGATGCTGACAGCGCGCGTTGTCTGTGAGTGTGCGGCGATGTCTTGACAGCCCCCGGCCAAGCGGCGTCAAGCAGCCCAGTTAAGGCTCCCGGCCATGCTTTGAAACAGTCCAGCGGACTCGGCTTGACGCTAGTGTCGGGGTATTACACAGTGTGGCCTGGTGGAAATGCGTCGGTATGCAGTGGTGATGGTGCTGTCGTTCAACCAAGCAGCAACGCGCGCGGCATCGCGTCCCTCAAGCAGATTCCAGCGCGCGGAGATACCTGCGTCGTATTTAGTAACCTTTTCCCATGCACGCGTGCTTGGCTGGGCGTGTACGACGTCCGACCGCAAGTCATGTTATGCCAACACCATAGGCACACGTCCATCGATTTATGTGGTAAATCGCGCAGTGTACAGTTAGTGATGTACGTCCAATGCCATGGCGTTCAGGTGCTCCTGCCAGTGCGGTGTATTCTCTGTTGCTCCTTCCCAAACAGTCGCGTCTCGCCTGACGCCAACGGCGTGTCCACTCGGTAGCCCACCGACAAGTGACAGACCTGCATAACTGTGTCGTCTGTTGATAGAATTGGAATTCGTCGTCATTGGTGAAATTATGATCTTGTTGCGTTAGTCCTTGTCACCCTTGTCATTGGGGACGTTTTGGGAGCGAACGCAAGGCAGACTGATGAGCTTTGTAGCGCGTTGTGAAGCTTACGCAGCGTATCCTTGCAGCCCAGCTGCCCAAAGAGCTGACACATATCGACTTGAGATCCTTCGAGATCAACCCCAAAATCATGAGGAGTCTGGGCACCAGGTGCTCTCAGCTGGAGGAGGTCCGGCTGCCGCACACGTGCACGGACGGGTGCGTGGCGGCCCTGCTGCGCCACCTGCCCGCCCTGCGGCGGCTGGAGGCGGTGAACAGCGAGGTGCGCGGCACGGCGTTCTCGCTCCTGCCCGCGTCACTGGAGTCGCTGAACGTGGACGGGTGTGAGGAGCTGCAGTCGGCCTGCCTGCGCCAGCTGACCCGCTGCCCCGGGCTGCGACAGCTGGACGTGTCGGGCGTGGAGGGGCTGCGTTCGGCGGACCTGGCGGTGGTACTGGACAGCTGTCCGCAGCTGGAGGAGCTGGACGTGGCCTGGTGCGAGGGGCTGAAGTCGACGTGCCTGCGTCAGTTGACCCGCTGTCCTCAGCTGCGGGAGCTGAGCGTCTTGTTTCTGAGTGAGCTTGACGCGGAGGACCTGGCGGCAGGCCTGGCCGGCTGCCCGCAGCTGGAGCGGCTGAGTGTGGCGGGATGTGAGGACCTATCGTCGACCTGCCTGCGTCAGCTGGTCCGCTGTCCCAAGCTGCGGAAGCTGGACGTGACGCGCATGAAGAGCTTGCAGGCGGCAGACCTGGCGGCGGTGCTGGCCGGCTGCCGTCAGCTAGAGTGGCTGTCGGCCGTGGTGCTTCAGCCCCCGCTGGAGCTCTGCCTGCCGCCGGCCGGCCTACCCTCCCTCCGATACCTGGACGTATCCCGCTCCCATGCGGTGACCGACGCGGCACTGCAGGAGCTGCCCGACCTGCTGCCAGGCCTGCACACGCTCAAGCTGGAATGTGAGTGTGCTTTGTATGCGGCGGTTTCAGCGTTCACTCCGGGTATGTACCCTGGACTGTACATTTGCCGCCGGGGTGCGATGTACATGGTGTTTCATTGCAGGGGCATGGAGATCTGCCATCAACGCTAGTAAGTTATTTACAACCCAAGCATTCGTGTTGGCGTGTTCGAGATCAGGACGCGTAATGGTTCTAACCATCAGACCTACAAATATGCGCCGAACTGCCCGTGTTCCCGGACGACACTGTCGCCAGCTGAGGTCCCAGACAGATGGGGACCGGCCAGTCCCAATGCATGGCATGCTTACAATGCTCAGCACACCTCCAGAAATAAAGTAACCCATTAAAACTGACTTACATAACCTATGCTAACTAGCACTAACGTATATAAACTAGGGCATAGTGTAAAGCAGTGGTGTGCAAACACGGAAAATGCGACTGAAAGCCTCAATTTCTGGACGTAGTTGATGTCAGGTAATGCCACGCAAAACGCGCTGTGTCAAAAGCGTTCCACGCGCCGTGGACTATGGTTTGTAGGGTCAAGGTCAGACCAGGGCCAACGGCTTGCGGCGCAGCTCTCTCAAAAGGAAGCGCAGATCCAAGCCTCAGGTCGACCGGCGGTAGAGTCGGGTCACAGGGCTCCATCTCAGCACCGTTCAAAGCCCTGAGCCCTGCGGCAGTGAAACGGAAGTGACGCTATTGGAGAAGCCTGTCTTTGTCGTGTCCCTGACGTCAGGAGGCGATCGCGACCGCCGTGTATCGGGACCGCAACGAGGCTGCGCACACCCGTATGGGCCACGGCATCCGTGGTTCAGCTGCAGCTGACTGTCAATGTGCGTCGTGTCAGTTCGTCGTGTCAGTTTGTTGTGTCAATTCGTCGTGTCAGATCGTCGTGTCACTTGTGTCGAGCGGCCGCCCGACGTGCGTGTTGCGTGGAACGTCGGGTGACTTCTTGTTCGCCTCAGTGTGTGGCAGGGTGACAGAAGACGGTCTGAGGTGCCTGTCCCGGCTGAAGGAGCTGCGCATGCTCGACCTGTCCCAGCTGGAGTCGGCGACGGACGCCGTTCTGGACGAGCTGCACAGCCCCCGTCTGAGAGAGCTCAACTTGTTCTGCTGCCGCAGTTGTTCCGCAGCTGGTGTCGCACGGTGAGTAACCTCTGTGGGACAAGGTCAAAGGACAAGGGCATGAGGTCAAAATCACCCCAGATCGAAGCATTTTACATGGACTGGACATCATGAGACGCTGTTGATAAATTTGTGCTGTAGCGGACATTCCGTAAGTGACCCAAACTCGGACAGGTTTTATGTGTTACTACTGAATGTGCTTCTCGTTGTCAAGATCAGTTAAGTATTCTACCATCAATGAAACGCGCTGTGACGACCTGGACTGTCCTCGCCGCCTCTGCCCTCGTGGGCAACGTCCTGCCGCGGTCTATGCCAGGCTCCCACACGGTCTGCCCCTCTGGAGCCGAACATGCCACGGAACCGCGCCGGTGCGTGCTGCTCCCAGGCATATGACGTGGTTTCGTGGTCAGCAACGGGTCCCGGACTAGCCAGCTCAGACGGGGCTGTGACGTCACGCCGGCTCCCTGCCACGTCATCGGTGTCGTTGGGAGCGCGTGCAGCGGGTGGCAGCAGCCGCTGCTGCAGCGACGGCGGTCTCGGAGTGTGCTGCGGCGGTTTTGCTGGGCATAACTGCAGGCAGCAATGTCGTTTCGCAAAATAGAGTGTGTCTGAGGAAGAGGCTAAACCTGCCTCCTGACCTGAACCTGCCTAAACCTGAGAGGAAGATGGCTAAACCTGCCTCCAAAGCCGCCCCCAAGGTGTGTTTCTCCCAGAATTCGGCCCGTTTCGCGGGGGAGGCCGGGGCCCCGGCAACTTTGTAGGGAATTGCATCCCTGCACGTAAGGTATGTTAGTACTAGTAAGCCTTTCTTGGGACGCATCACGCACCGCGGCACACAACGTTTTGTGGCAACGGCCGGCCCAATGTGCCGTCACAAGTCCACGGTTTACGGTCACGGTTCGTCGGGAGTTCCCTAAAGGCGGACTGAGAAGTACTACTGATAGCAGCGCCGCCAGATGGCAGGTTGACGACGGGTGGCGCAGTGACGGAAGGAATGACGTGCGTGGCACCTTGTAGACCCTCTGAGCAACAAGTGGATCGGAAATTGTAAAACAGCGTTGTCGCTACTGTTGGGTACTGCCATATGGTGTGTGCTGTTGACCCTGTTGCGCGCAGTGGTCACGGCTGTGCGTGGCCAGGGCTCGAGGCGGAGCAGTGGCAACCGCTCGATGCTGTCGGATATCCCGATCATGGTCCGTGTGCGCTTCAGTGTAGGCTAGCGCTCCATGTGTAACTTGCGCTATCTCCCACTGCAGTTTGTTGGCGAGGACGCCCCTGTGCGTATGATCTGCACGAAAGACCCGTCTGCATTGGGGGGTTGGGCGTGGGCTGCACCGTGCTCTACTGCATGCTGGCGGTCTGCTGCAACCCGTGCTGTGCCGTCTGTTGCAGGCTGGTGCTCGGCTGTCCCTCGCTGACCCTGCTCGGGTGGCGAGTCAATGATGTGACCCGCACCAGGTCCCTGATCAACAGACTGACGCGCCAGCTGACCCTGGACCGCGACGTCACACTCGAAGTCTGGGGTAGGTGGACGTCGCACGGGCTGCTCTTCTCTCTGTGGACGGAGGGGGTGAGCTGGGCGCTTCTCTTCGACGCTAGAGTTGCGCACTGTGCCGGCCCGGCTCTTGACCATCAGCTGGCACTGCGAGAGGGCGAGCTATCGACAGTGCGCCAAGACAACGGAGTACTCATCCTCCTTTGCAAGCAAATGCATTAGACGATATCCTCATCACGGCAATCTGAACCCGTACCCGTGCGAGAACTGTTTCGGCAGCGGTGAGAGCGCTGGGTCGTGTTCGATCTCTGCTGTCTTGAGTCTCTTCTCTTCGCGTGCCATAGTTCGGAGCTACGCTGCCGATCTGTTGGTAAGCTTACATAGCTCTTCTACATGTGGGAATGGACTTCGAACACCAAACGCTCCTAAAAACCTATCGGCCCTGACTTCGAAATTCTTGATGTGATGCTTCCAGACAATCTAAATCGGAAATGAAGATTTCGGTTCGCACAGGTCTAAAATTATGCAGAATCGCATGATCGCTATCGCCTAGGAGGGCGTGCCCTCTTCGAGACGTGAACTGCCAATAGCATGAAGCTTTTATTTACTTGTGAACCTAACATGAATCGACTGGCAGCTGCTCACCTTGTGTGTGTGTGTGTGTGTGTGTGTGTGTGTGCGTGCGTGCGTGCGTGCGTGCGTGCGTGCGTGCGTGCGTGCGTGCGTGCGTGCGTGCGTGCGTGCGTGCGTGCGTGCGTGCGTGCGTGCGTGCGTGCGTGCGTGTGTGTGTGTGTGTGTGTGTGTGTGTGTGTGTGTGTGTGTGTGTGTGTGTGTGTGTGTGTGTGTGTGTGTGTGTGTGTGTGTGTGTGTGTGTGTGTGTGTGTGTGGTGTGTGTGGTGTGTGTGTGTGTGTGTGTGTGTGTGTGTGTGTGTGTGTGTGTGTGTGTGTGTGTGTGTGTGTGTGTGTGTGCGTGTGCGCGCATGTGTGTGTGTGTGTGTACGTACGTGCGCGCGCGCGCGTGTGCGTGTGCGAGCCAGCTGGCTTGTGTATTGAGTGGCTGACGTCACGCCCCGCTTCGGCGGCAGATCTGAAGGATGTGCGCCGCCCACGATCCGGCCCGCTCCGGCTGAGGTGACCCCGCACGGAGGGAGCGTCCATGACCGCAGCCCGGTGCGCCGCCCCCGCCTGTCACCGGCCGACCAACGCACGCCGCCGCGCAGCGCCACGTGCGTGCTGCCCGCGCTGCCGCCAGCTCGTGCGGCACGGCCGTGCTGTGTCGGTGCGTGCTGCAGCCATGTGCTGCCAGGGGCAGCTGGCGGGGGAGAGGCGTGTTGAGCAGCGTGTCTGTGCAGCCGGAGCTGTGCGGCGGTCAGTTGCTGACTGGCGGCTCGTTGGCGAGGTCTGACTGCGTCCCAGCCGGCCGCCGGTGGAGCGTTTGCACTGGGCCGCCCCCGGTTGGCGGGTGAGCCCGTGGCCGGCCGGTGTTTGGTCCGGACGCTCGTGTCACCGGGCCGTCCGCAGACTGGTCTGCTGTCGCCTGTGCTGGTCTGCTGTCGCCTGTGCTGGTCTGCGGGCCACCTTTTGGTCACACGCACGGGGCTACCGTAGCGTATGGTGACGACGTTGATAACATTTGTCATTGCTGTGCTGGAGAAGGTGCCAACTCAGAGCGCTTACTTGCACTCGTGCATCGCGGCGGGAAACTCAAGCAGTGATTTTTATTTTATTTTATGTGTATTTTCGATTATAGACATGAAGCCAGTGTCCATAATCGAAGCGATGCCAGTGTGTCGTTGGTATGTAGGTAACACGAAAGGAGCGTTTGCTGTGGCCACGCTCTGCCATTCCACGCCACGGGCTGGGTCATAGAGTTACGTCCTTGTACTGCATCGTGTTGTTTGTGGAGCATCTACCAACGGACCGAGTTTCTGTCCTGAGTGACATCCGGCCATCTTCTAGTGGTAGGTACTTTGCTTCGGAGTTTGATGGATTCGTGTGCGTTCGCAGTTTTTAAGCGCGTCATTTGATACATTTGAATAAACGATTATCGACTTGAAGCCCCGCATCGAAAAGTAACACATTACCATCACCATTCACCCTTGCCAAACGCTGCAGCATAATTTCTCATGACAACGCCGGTACTTGAATGTCGTATGGGGTGATGAAATCACGGAAACGGTCCAGTCTGCGCCAAAGTTACTGGGGTCTGTAGTCTGTACCACAGCAGCCTCAGTGCATTCATTGGTAGGGTACGCCCAAATGCACCACATGCGTAGTGGTTTAGCAGCTCATCCGCCCTGTATAAATGACATATCGTGCGGTAGCTCGATGCGTTCTCATTCTGTGGTGGCCAGCCCGTCCCCACCCTACCACGGCGAGGTAAGTCGCCACTCGTTTTGTTATTGATCATGAACAGATGTGAGGACAAAGTTGGGTTTGAATATCGTTCAAGTCGGTAGCACCGATCACAGTCATTTCCAGCTGCAAATATTACGATCAAATCGTTTCTTATGAGTACCATACGCATCAGTCTAACCACTAGTACCGGGGTGTTGCCAAAGTTTTCTGCATTACTGTCGACTCGGGAGTCATTTCTCGTAGCTGGATAGCTAAAATGGACACGGTTCGGAATCTTCGATTGCCACCAGCTAGCGAGAATGCGAAAGTGCGGCTGGTTGACGCGACCCAGGGGCGGATCCCGGATTCTCACACGGCGGGGCGGTTGGTCCCGGGTGCCATTTTCCCCCCGGGTGATTGAAGTGGTCCGGACGGTGACAAAATGGGCATCACCGCAGCAGTAACCTTTTGAGAGTTCACTGAGAGTGAGATCCACTGGCCAGGTGAGGTAAGGCTGAATAATGTATTATCCAAGTGTTAATGCAATAGTACATTATCCAAGTGTCAAGTTTTGGCTGAGAATGATGTACACACCTTTCACCGGCGAAAAAATATCAGACAAGCGCGGAATTTCACGATAACTGGAGATCTCCCGGCTCAAGCTTCAAAGAAGCCCGAACGTAAATGCGTAATTTGAACACAATAAACTCTGCGTTCTGCCTCTCCGCCGGTGGCCTGGAGCACGTGCCGCACCGAGCCGTGTACAGGGTACGGGAGCATTCTGCGCCGTCACGCGCGTGACGCGGCAATGACGTGCGCTGATAATGAAAAAGCTACACTCGCATGGCGCACCACGTTTGCAGACGAGTTTATTCCGGCCAACCAGTTTCGCTCTCGAGATACACCTTGTCTTGCCCGTGGTCATCAACCAACAGCGAGGTGAGTCAGACATTTAGCACTCATTATCAACGCATGACGTCCACATCACTAAAAACTGTTCAACTCGTAGCAATAATAGCTGTCGCGACATCGGCAGTGATGGATCCAGAGGAGGGTAAACACGGGGCCACGGCCCCCACCCTTGAACCCCGCAGGCGCCATAGATTCTCAAGCCGGCTGAACAGGCGTGGTCTTTTTGACACAAAACACAACCAGGTTAGACATCTTTAGGTTTCGAGACGACCACGAACAGTCGTAAGCGAAAGTGAAGGGCCCACGAGCGGACAAATTAATTCTCGCTGATTAAAGACGTTAAGGGCGGTGACTGGAAGATGCCAACGGTCAGCACGCTGCCCAGAGGCCCTGCACTGTTTCTGGGGGCCCCATATGTTAGGTTGTGGGATCAATCGGATCGCCAAGGAGCCTTCCACATTGCCATTGATTTCTTTGAATATGCTCGGACGGCCCTGCTCTGCTGTCGTGGCTCTTTCTGCTGGCAGGCCAGGAGCTCTTGTCGCTCAGGGGCCTTTCACGGATTCATCCCACCCACCCGAAAGGCTCCATACGCCTATAGCCGGGGGCCACATATGCTAACCTGCCGGGGTATTCTCGGTTACTCAGGGCCATCCACGTTAATCTCGGTTAACCTACCAACACACTTGCGGTACGTTCGTGGGTGCTCTGCACTGGTTATGGAGTTTATCTTTTTTATATTTGGTTTTTTATTTTCATATTTTATTAATTTTTTATATTTTATTTAATGTTTTTTTATTATTTTCATATCTTTTCTACATTTTATCGCTGACACGGGTCCCCTATTAGCCATTGTGGGTCATTACCTGTTTCAGAGGTCCTGACCAATGCACTGCAGACCCAGCCTCGCCCCTGATTTGGAAAGGGTCACCCAAGGGACCAGACCGGCACGGAACCGACTGTCCGGTATTGGTGGTCTCAGCCCGTTGACTGAAATAAAGATGTTCATTGTCGCTAAGGGCCCGCGACCGGTGCAAGAGGTACCTCTGATATTTTGGGGTCCGGCCTTCTGGCTGCGGTTCCTTCACATGGTCCCCGGCCTGCCCTTCAGACACACCAATGGGGCCCCTCATTGTCGGCCCGAGGGGCCAAGCCCTCTGTATTCAAGTGGCACCTTTGGAATTTGGTTTCTGGTGAAAAAATTTGACAATCTCTGTTGTCCCCTGTGATTTGTTGTTACTTCAGTATGGAGGTTGCGGGACCCTTTGTGATTTCCTTTCTCGTAATTGGGTGCCTCTTGAAAATAAAGGTCAACGCCACCCCAAAATAAAGGTTTTTGGTGCCCTTTGCCGAAAGGATCGAACTAGGATTTCATCACATTGGAAGACAAAGAAATTATGGCGCACTGAATGTCATCGTCTCTTGAAATCAAAGTTCGCGGCCCTTTCAACTGCCGCTTGGATTTCGTGGCTCTAGAAGATAAATCTTATAGTGACCTAAAAGAGAGGTTTTTAGTGCTCCCTCGCCAAATGGGCCAATGCAGGATGACGTCAGTGGAGAGGCCAAGCACTGCGGTGTCTCCTGGCAATCGTCGAGTCCTGAAAATGAAAGTTTTGGAGCCCTTTGCATTGCCTCCTGGCATTGAGTGCCTCTGGAAAATAAAGCTTGTGGTGCCAAGAAATGAAGGCTTTTGCTACTCCTTTGCCAAGAAGGTTGACCACGAATTTCGCTAGAGCAGACACAAAAATTGTAGTGCCCCTTAATTTTGGTCCTTATTAAATTATGGCGTTTGGCCCTTTAAATGACCTGCTTTGGTTTGACACCTCTACAAACAAAAGCTATGATGTCCCGAAATTAAGGTTTTGGTGCCCCTAGCTTGAGGGACCAATCCAGGATTTCGTCAGGGTGGGAGGCACAACACTGTTGTGCCGCTGAAATTTCGTGCCTCTTGAAAATGTCTGTTTTGTGGATCAATAATTAGGCTCCATGTACTTGCGAGTTGTTTTCACTCATTTTATTTTGGTGCCCTTTCGGCCTAAAAGGGGTGACCCCATGACCTCTACCTCCGGACCTGTCACCGGACTACTCAACCTACAACACGCTGGACTTGTCGGCGAAGTTTTATAGCATGTTAGTAGATGTAAGTACGATAGAGAGCATCCTTACATCATGTCACCGCATCGTTCGCTCTGTGGACCGTGCACCAGCATGTGGTTTGTATTTGCATTTATATTTGTATTTGCATTTACACGCAGCCCATCCACGAGGAACTTTTCAGGTCTTTAGCCTGGTGCAACAGCCGGTAGGTTTGGTTCGTTACAAGACAGTGGCATCGGATATCTTAAAATACTTGTGAAGCTGAATTACAAACATAAGCAAGTTTGCTAATTCGGACGAATGCGCCAAAAATCTGAAAAGAATATGCCTAACCAAACCCAGAGCCTGCATACAAAGATGAATGAAAACAAATTGCGAGTACATGCCGTTTGTACTGGTATGCAAAGATGGCATATGTGTGGACGAACAGTAACGCAGGTCTCCAGCATCCAGGATCGGCTCCGAACCAAGTTGCATGACCTAACGTTTGCGTTTTGCTGGGCGAATTTGTAATCCCCTCACAGATGAAGACATAATTTTGGCCGGAGACGGGCGGATCCAAGTTTCCGTAGCACAATAAGGAAAAGCTTGCTAAGTGGGCTCCAGTCGACACCCGTTAGATCCGTGTTGTTTTTTTAGCTAAACTTTGATTTTACATGTAAGTTAGACTACACAATCTTTGATAAATACATTTTTGTTGGTAATACTCAGAAAAAATACCAGTGATAAATAATTTGATTAACGTCTGGGCATGCGGAGAGATGTCAACGTGGAGGAGCGCCCCCCCCCCCCCCCCCACCGCAGTGAGACAGAGGAACATGGCTTAAAAAGAAAGTAGACAGCGATGCAATTCTTCGCATCTTAGCGCCTTCAATGCGTTCAGCACGCCTTTCCCCTGAACCAGCTATTCATCCGGAGCCTAACCAGATGCACCAGAGTCGGTGCTACATGTTGGCCGAGTTTCACATCAGGGCAATCCTGAAGCGGGGGGGGGGAGATGGAACTTTATTCCTCTGCACCTCACATGTTATCACGCCACCCCATACGCACAGACAGCGTGATATGTGCGGGACAAAGTAAGCTCAGATAATAATTTTGAGAACATTAGGTGTAAAGTTATGCTGAGGTGGTACAGCGATATTATAATTCCGTTGTATTTTTGCACAACTCTGGCGACATACTTCAACGAAAGCGTCTAGCCTACCATCACAACGGAAAACGTGATGTGCCGTGAATGTGTCATAGCCTATTCATTTGTGATTTTGTTGAAGCTGAAATCGACTTTTTCTTTAAATTATGTTTGAAAACTTTTACCCATGAAAGTGTAGTCAGTTTTGTCTTTGTTTATTTTCAGGGAGTTTGCGCTGAACCAAGCCTAAGGTTCGTAAATTGGCATTTGTAGACGACGTTTTAATTTGCCGTGACTCTGCTTGTTGCGGGGACCGTGCTCCAGGAGCTGAGTGCCATCTGCATATGGGAGAGGCTTCCATGTTACCGTTGATTGGGCAAGTCGTTTGTGTACAGGGTGAAAAGCAGTGGGCCGAGGATGGATCTGTGGGGCACTCCGCGTGTTACCGATGTGGTTGTCAGTCCTCCACGCACCACCTGTCCCCAACCATTCAAACCAAGCTCGAGCCGACCAGGGTTCGCGCCATACCACTGAATC